CCCCCCAATTCTCTCCCCCATCCCACTGGGGGTGGTGAGCCAATGGCTGTGTGGTGTTTAGCTGCCTGCCGGGTTGTTAAACCACAACACTGATCGAGTTGGATCTGCACATCACTACCTAGCATTTCTAGGCACATAACAAGCCTCAGCTGGACAGGTACTAAGTGCCATTGTACTACTTCCCCCTCATCCCCGAGCTTCAAATACCAACTCATTGTCTCATGAAATGATATAAAACATCTTCAAATTCTTGAACATAGATTTCCATCCATGAAGTAAGCAAATTATTAGCAGTAATAAAACAGTATAAAAAAGCAAAATTACTAGTCCACAAAATTTATTATTGCATTATTCCTCTGCTGAGCTCCCTAATTTAAACGCATCACTGCTATCAACTTTGAGTAAAACCAAGTAACCACAAAAACCTACTCCACTTCCTACTGCATATGCCACGTGGTTTATATTTGCACTGCATTTCACTTAAGCTCTAATTAGGTAGTGTTTTTGTCTGGCAGGAAACATTAACACAGAAATCTTCACAGCATTTCAAGTATAGACATTATTAATAGCAAGTTTTGTTTTACAGACTGTCAGGCTTTCTTGACCATAACACTTGGCATATGCGTGCTTCAGCTAAAACCAGAGAGAACGCTTTCACACAGAAGGGAAGAGCTGAGAGACATCTAGAGAGGCACAACTCTCACTTTTGGTGTTACTAAATTTAAGTAAAAGCTTTTGTCCTAGAGAAATTCCAGGCCTTGATATTTCTGTTTAACATTTTGTCCTAGCCTGCGCTGATCAAGCCTGGTTCCATCCCAACAGCAGCTACAGTTCCACAGCACATCAAGTTCTTCCACATCTATTCTTTACGTAATACAACGGTCTGTTCTAGCTTTTAAAAGCACTTCTGGATTCTGAAATAAATGAGGAGAAAAATTAAACCTGCTGTGCCGGCTTAAGAACTTGTGTATACTTTCTAAGAAGAGAAGTTTTATTTTTCCACACACAAGATAGGAGATTATTTGTGGATCTGTAAATCCAGTTCCATGATCTAACAGTCCATTTTATCGTCATGCAAATGTACTCAATGGATAAGATGTGAAAAGCCTTTATAGGTATGCAACCTTCTGAAACTTTATACAGGACTAAACGAAGGGACAGTGAACCCATTTCTCTATAGGCATAGCTGTTCTTAACTTCTTTTTTCCCCCCACATCTAAGATCCTTATAATAAGATAGCAGAAAACTAGATCTACAGATATTAGGAGCTCCAGGAACTGATTCATGCTATATAAATTTAAGACAAGACTTACAAGTTTGTATCATAGAATCATAGAGGTTGGAAAAGACCTCTAAGATCATCGAGTCCACCCGTCGCCCCAACACCACCATGCCCACTAAACCATGTCCCTAAGTGCCTCATCTACACGTCTTTTAAATACCTCCAGGGATGGGGACTCCACCACTGCCCTGGGCAGCCTGTTCCAATGTTTCCCCACTCTTTCAGTCAATAAATTTTTCCTCACATCCAATCTAAACCTCCCCTGGCGCAACTTGAGGCCGTTTCCTCTTGTCCTATCGCTTGTTACTTGGGAGAAGAGACCGACCCCCACCTCGCTACAACCTCCTTTCAGGAAGTTGTAGAGAGCGATGAGGTCTCCCCTCAGCCTCCTTTTCTCCAGGCTAACCAACCCCAGTTCCCTCAGCCGCTCCTCATAAGACTTGTTCTCCAGACCCCTCACCAGCCTCGTTGCCCTTCTCTGGACACGTTCCAGCACCTTAACATCCTTCTTGTAGTGAGGGGCCCCAAAATGTAAAAGTCACACAAACTGAAATCCATAGCCAATTCCAACTAGTCACAGGATTTACTATTTGCTTATTTGAAAGCTTTATTTAAAAAGCAGTTTTGAAAGACCAAGCTTTCAACACGGTTCTTGATTTCCAGATATGTAAGGAGCTACTTCAATTAACAGTATTCATATTTTTGAGTATTAAGCACAAATTTACTGAGAAGTCGGTACAGGAGGACATTAAAGAGAATTTTGTTTTCTTACTAGCTTTCATCTGCTTCCCCCAACCCCCATTCCACGCCCCAACAAAAAGCCACCAAAATCCACGTTCCCTGGGCAGCGCCATAAGATTCTTCCAGACTTGTGTGCCTGACTGGGAAGCAGGGGGGTAACAAAAAGAAAAGCCTCAGATCTCTGCAGAGCAAAGGTATGGGGCACAGTTGCATAAACCTCCCTAAACCATATACAACTGACATTTGGGCTACATCGTCCCCACTTGAAGATTTTAGCTTCACGTCTTTAGTTTCATGGAAAGAGAAAAACAACAATCAAGAGGTAAAGACATGGAAGCAAACTGCAGACTTATTTGCAAATGCAAATTTGTTTGTTGATATAGACATACATGACTGAATGTATTAATGTTACATATGTATGAAAAGATTACTTTTTAAACATCTCAGTGTTTGAAATATTTATACAAATGGCAATTTCAAGTACGTATGTGTGAAGCATGGCTTCCTGATTTTGGCGTCTAGACTAAAAGCCTGAAATCAGAAGGTTATCAACATCGCTTTAAGTAGAAATGGCTAGATTTGTATGGTTTTTGAACTACCTAAATACTTACAGTGCACTGTGCATCAGAGATTGCTTCAAACTCAGGTTAGCACAGGAATGATTTCAGACTTGTCACATACAAAAATAAACAAATCATAGTTTTGAAAAGAGCTCAGGATACAACCGGGAAGCTGAACCCAAATACCTTCAGGTTAGTATTTTATATTTTATTTATTTACAAACAAGTGAAATGCAACGGCCCGGACTGCAGAGGCGCAGAACGGATTTTTAATTTTTAAATCTGACAATGTGTCAAGTTTTTAAATAACACCATATTCATGTTAGAAAAAATAAAACAAAACTTTAAGCCAACAGCATTAACATTTTCAAGTAAGGTATCTGAAATGACGTGCCCCAGCAAGAGACTAATTTTGAAGTTGGAGGACCTTCACCTCCTATAACACGCTGGGGGAGTACAAGAATCAGGATATCTTCTTTGGTGGCCTTCAGTCAGATACTCGAAAGGTCAGTTACAGCTCAAACTTTTATGCAACTTACATGTCATTGCAAAAGCTCTGGAATGACAAATTCTGTTCCTATAGCCTGGCTCTGGCTTGATGACCAACATACTCGTTGCATTCTTTTTATCTTTAGGAAACTACACACTCAGTAAGTATTCTAATATCTGAAGAAAAAAAATCCACAAATAACAGATGTTGCCTCATATTGCAAGGAAATACTACCTATACAGGCTTTTTAGTCTTGTTTTTAATGAGCTTACCGAGCGGATCTCTCAATTTCGCTATGCTTTTGTGAAGATTGCTGCTTGCAGTTACTAGAAAAAACTAATCTCAATTTATTTTCAATCCTTAGCAAGACCTGCAATTTAACTTATATTTGTAAATATTTAGGAAGCCCATTGCTGAGCCACTTCATACCATCATGTTAAAACCACACGAACTACATCTAAGCAGATGATTCTACTAAACACATTATGGGAGGGCATGATCTCCATCTACAGCAGTAAGTTCTCTGCTACTCTTCCATTAGGCCTCCCTTGCCCCATTCATCGTCATCCCTCCCAGCAGCCACATCCACTGTTACTGCTTTTTTATCTCAGCCACCAGCCACATCCACTGTTGTTACTTTTTTATCTCAGTGGATCCAAAGTATGTCCCAGCTGTTCATTACTTACTGTGATTTTGAAAGCCATTGTTTATGTTCTGTTAAAAAGCTGAAATTTTCAATATTCTTATTGCAAAAATGAAAACAATTAGCAATTTGAAAATTAAGCCGGTTTCAAATTCAGTAAGAATTTTAGCATTCTCCATTTGGCACAATTCTCAGTTGTATCTACTAACAGTAAACTGACACAAGACCCACATTATAAATAATAAATGCAAGACATTTTGTCAAAGGCTGCAGTATAAACATCAAAGAAAACGTTTCAACAAGAATGACTGTGGTACCAATACTGTACAAAAGATAAAAAAAAATATTCTTTGATAATTTTGTATTTTTTTTTTTTTTCATTATTTAACAGTTAGTTGGAGATTCTACTTCAATTCCTGTGCAGCTTTATTTTTAGGACACAAATGACTGACATAACACAGTGCAATTTGTGAAGAATTGTGAAAATGGTTTCACAGATTATTTAGACAGATTTGCCAGGTAGAAGGACAAGATAAAGAAAAAAGGGCGTTATAGCTTCTCTCCAGCTAGAAAGTTTAACCTAGTTTGAACATACAGATTTTCAGAACTGCTACAAAATGAATTATTTGCTATATTTTAACATTCCATAGCAACAGTTTTTAAAA